CACCATTTTACATTTACTCCATCGTTAATTACTGTATGTTACTTCTGCATACCAGGTAGCTACCCTACAAGAAGAGCTTTCTTTCTGGCATGGCTATCATGCACTTATCAGTGGCCGTCGTGAGAAGGGGTGACCCCAGGGACATATGCGGGCATGGCTCAGGATTAGGTGAATATTGATGGCAATTTTTAGCCCAGTATGGGCGGGTTGGGATTAATTTTGCACTTTTTTAGCAAGATTTCTGGGGAGAGACCTGTGGCATTTGTAATACCGACTAAGCTGCTGCCATTTTGAAAATGAACAAGTGTTTTCTCTGTGAAGACTGGGTATGAACTGCGGTACACGTTCCAAAATGGCAACTAAGAGAAAGGTGAGTCAGTTTTCCTTTTTCTTTGAATTGTCCAATTCTGCCAGTCATCCTTTACTCACATAGTGAAGTACCTTTCCCAAGGAATCTACGAGTCTTTTTATGTTGATCTTTTGGCGATTTAATGTTAAAATATTTGTGGTTTGAATTATTCATCTTTTCTACCCAAGAGAGCGTGCTGTAAGCAGTATGTCACCTCAGCTTAAATACATTTATTCTCTTCTTAGGTCCTTTTTCACTACTGTGATTGCAGAAAGCCATTTGTCATTAAGTGTGGAACATTAGAAAAATTAATTACAGAAAAAAACCCTATTCGAAGTACAATAAAATACAATAGAGACCTTTAGCATCAGGTTTTTCATGGGAAACCGCAAACTTCAAATGGCAGTTTGCAGTTTCACGTTGCCCAGATTTCAAATTTTAGCACAGCGTTCAGTTCAGTTCAGTTCAGTTCATTTTTATTTAGCCAAAATATAATACAATACAAGCATACATATAGGAATTGTAAGGTTGCAACGGGGCCCAGAAGAAACCAGAAGGCTTATAAAGCCTGGGCTCTCCAGTCTCAAGAAATAAGTAAAATAAAATGAAATTCATGGCGTGATACGTTAATAATAGGAACTAAACAGAGACTGAGTTAAGTTATGAATTCAGTGACAAGGTAGAAAAAATTTTAACTCTGGATTGGAACAGAATACCTTCTTTTGTTTGTACGGCAGAAAGGAATAAAAAATCGATTTGAACTACGTGTTCATTGTTTAGGGCCGCCAAGTTGTTTTCATCAAGTCGAAGTGCATCACTTTAATCACCCAAAAAGCAGCAATAATTCTTTGATTCGAGATCAAAATCCAACAAACACATCGCAAATGGATATAAAAAGCTAGTTGATGCCTTTAAATGTCAGGCTGTACAATTTTCAGGGGCAAAAAACCTTGCCGTAAATCACTTACAGCTGGAAGCCCTTCCTGTGGTTCAAACGTGAACTGCAAACTGCAAACATGGCTGCAAGGCCGTGGTCACATGACATTTTGTGGTTTGCGATTTCCCAAGAAAAACCCGATGCTAAAGGTCTCTAATAACTTTTATTTCAGCACGATGGTGATTAAACAATAAAGCCTTGTCGCTTATGGGGTCATGCATGTAAGCTAACTAAAACTTAAGCGATAAAAGTATATTAAAATCGTCTTAATAATATAAAAAACTATTGTTGTCACTGTGAGGCATTGTTTGGGGAGATTCAGCCCAAAAATCTAAATGGGTTATTCCAGAAAAATCCACACCCCCATGATGGAAGGCACGGTTTTTTGACCCCCCATCCACCTGGATTTCCAAAACTGCTTGAGCCCCTCTCCCCTCAGGATTTCCAAGTTCAAAGGCCATCTGGATTTCCATAAAATTGTTAGACACCGTGATTTTACTTTACACTCATTGTACAAGAATCCTTTTAGGCACTTAGATGATCTTTTTATTAAATAAGTATCAATGTTCCGTGAATTCTGTGTTTGTTGTGAACGTTAAGATTCTATTTTCACATCTTATTACACTTTTTGCAAATATGTTCATATTTGAGTGAACTTATCTTTTTTTCTAGAAATTAAAGGCAAAAATAGCAATATATACTACAATAAAGCTCAAAACTAACTATGCTCTCGAATAAATGGTTCTCTTCTTTGTCGATAAAAAATGACCACAAAGACAGAAAAAGGACCCTTAGTGGGATATTACATGACGCCCTGTACCACTTGCCACAACACTTGCCTTTCAAAATGGCCGCCAAACAGTCACAAACAATCACGCTTACAAAATGTACTTGTAAGGCCAGTTAAGTGGTAAATCACCCGAAATAGCATTAACCTTGGAAAAATGTATAATTCAAGGTAAAATCATTGTTTGCTTTACTTGAACTGAGAGCTTTTTTATGAATTACAGTTGACTCCCGATAACTGATCTTTACATGAAATTATGACCAGTTAATATTAAAATTGTACGCAATTGACAACGGAAAACCCCTTCTTTTCGAAGACAACACGGAATACATTGCCTCGCGCCAAAAGCTGTTTTCAGGTAAAAGCTTTTCGCTACAGAAGGATTTAAAGGCAGAAGGTAAGTAGTTACAATGTAGTTCACGCTTATTTGTTAATTCTGGCTGAGCGAGAATTCTACATGAACATCTTCATTGCATTGGGAACTTTTTAATTACGAAGTTAATCGAGTGTAATTGCCCAACCGAGAGTTTAATTTAATCGCACAGTGAATACAAATTAGGTTACTTTAATTTTGTGGGAAAAAATTGTCTTTCTCCCAAATAGAATCGATACGACAGGAGCATTCTTTCAGTTTTTATTTGCGGCTATATCTCGGTTATAATTAAGCCAAACGAGTGTGTATAATATGCAGTCCGAGGTTAATTATGTCAAGGTAGTGAACTACATTTTTGGTGCGCTTTTAAGGCTGGTGTTTTAACGCATCAGAAAGGTGTTTTAATGCATCAAATGATGCATTTAATGCATTTAAACACGCGTTAAAACGGGCTAAAATGCCGTTTTCTCAATTCACCTTAATACCCCTTATCGCAAGTGAGGTCACACATGCTCTGAAGTCAACAAATCAAACACGACTTGGAACTGGCCACCAGTGTATCCCCGGGAGGAGGTGACAATGGTAGCTTTTCTGGAGAATTATTGCTCTTGGGTGGGAAGAATTTGTGAACGTCGTTCTGCAAATGCCCGGGGGTTCCCTAGGGTCATCCCCCCTCCCCGGGAAGGCCGCTGATAAGGCATTAGCATTTACCAGATTTACGAAGTCGTTCGCGTCGGTATCAATCGCGTGCCGTAGTTGCTTTGTTTACGCCCCCGTAAAAAGAAGACCGATAATCTTACCAAAAGAGGAAGAGGCAGTAGACTTAACAGTACCAAATACCGATACAGTAGAGGCCGTTGTTCCGGTTCCAAAAGCACCAAAACTCGGCGTGCTCGTTGAACCAAAAATAGTCGGATTTACCACCTGGCTAACTCCAAGGCTTCCAAATGCTGAAGCAGAACCTGAAGGTGTACCAAACGTAAACCTACTAGCAGATGAAGGCTGGCTGGTAGAACCAAACAATGCCATGGCCGCAAAAAGGAGTTACAACAACTATCAAACAGTCTATCAATCAAGCTCAGACCGAGACTGAGGGAGTCTCCATCGCGTTGAGCCCGCAAACTATAGTACATATAACACATGTAAGCACACCATATAGTCGTGTACTACACAAACAATACATTTTATATTCATTGATACCTCTTTTAGTTTCGCCCTTCCCGCCAGAATTCTATTAATGAAGGGAAATGAAGAAAGGGCCTGATCTCATATTAGAAGGAGGACCATACGGTCTTACACCATCAAACAGCTTGAAAACTCTCACTCTTTTAAAAGAAAGTTAAAATCGATCAAGACCTATGTTCAGCTGATGTTAGAGACATCAGTTTTCAAAAGGAATGCTCGGTAAATTGTAATAAGAACCCAGAATTTAGATATTTTTAAATTATTTGATTAGTCTTTTTATCTTGAATAATTGTATTGTAAATCTTTGTTCTCTTATCTAGACTAGTAGTAGTAGGTCCACCCCAGGGGCCCCACTCACATATTTTAATGACGGGGGGGTCCGACAGAGGTTCATATTTTATGCCCAAAAAAATCCCAACTTCAGAATTTGTCTACCCAAAAAAATCCCTCAGTGTTTTTGCATCAGCAAATTTTATTATTTATCTTCTGGAAAGCTAAAACATGCCAACTTCAACTTTGGTTTTGGTCAAAAACAAAACTACCGTATTTATTCGAACAAGCACTTTTTGGTCAAAAACAAAACTATAAATTGCGCTTATGTTATTGTTGATTTGAGCTGATGAAAAATACAATACCCCAAAAAATCCCTGTGTTGTTTTCGCGACCCAAAAAAATCCCGGCGTCTTTCATAGACCAAAAAAATCCCTTTTGACCAAAATGTCAGACCCAAAAAAATGCTTCGGACCCCCCCGTCATTAAAATATGTGAGTGGGGCCCCTAGGAGGTCCACATCAGCTGTACAGTTGCTTATTTCAAACCTAATGTATGTTATCGAATCGATTTGTGACGTCATCACTTTGAAGTTGAAAGCATTGCAGGCTGTCAAATCCAGACTCCAGGGGCGCTTTCCAGTTAGATAAAAAATCGGGAAATTTCGGTGGTAACAAAAATGGATTTTCCGATAGGTAAAAAGTTGTTCCATTTGATTGTAAACCTCGATACGGCACCGAGCCCGCTACCTGACGGGGCACCAAGATGGCTGCCGAGTTAGTAAAAATTGGAACTGGTATAAAATACGAGAAACTTGTAAATGGAACACGAAATTCTGTTCGGAACGTTCAAGCCGGGAAAACGGGCCTACCTTTTAAGATTTTCCATTTTTTACGGGAATTTTCCAGTGGGACGAACCGACGAAACGTTTTTCATTTACTGCCGAACCGAAATTTCCGGAAGCTTTGACTAAATGGAAAGCACCCCAGACTTTGGACTGTATCTCCCGGTCTCCAAATTAAAGTCTGAAATCTCCTGGGTAATCGCCGAAGTTTGCCATTTCTTGTAGACTGACTGTATCAGTGACATTAAGAGTTGGATGATTTCAGATAATCTTATGTTAAACGATGATAAAACAGAATTTTTAATTATAGGTACTAGACAGCAGCTGGCCAAGGTTAACATCAATTGCATTAGGGTTGGGTCGACTGATGTTTGTCCTGTAATAGTAGCTAGAAAAAAAGGCTCATGGTTTGATGAGCAGCTCACTATGTCAACTCATATTAGCAAGTTATGTGGTGTTGCCTTTTACCATTTGCATAATATCAAACGCATTCGCAAGTATTTGTCTCGAGAATCAACGGAAATGCTTGTCCATGCATTTATTACATCTCGTGTTGATTATTGTAACAGTCTTTTGTATGGGCTGCCCAACTACCAGCTTAACAAATTGCAGCGAGTTTTGAATGCCTCAGCCAGGCTGGTTTGTAATGCCCCTAGGTTTTGCCACATCTCACCCCTTCTTCGTGGTCTGCATTGGCTTCCTGTTAAAGCCCGGATAGAATTTAAGATACTGCTTATTACGTTCAAAGCAATTCAATTCCTTGCTCCTAAATATCTATGCGATTTACTAACATTTAAATCGTCCTTATATAACCTTAGATCTTCAGATAGTATTTTACTTTCTATGCCAGCTGCTCGATCGAAGACGTTAGGTGATAGAGCTTTTATGGTAGCAGCGCCAAGGCTCTGGAACTCTCTTCCAAAAGAACTTCGTGCGATTACTAATGTGAACAGTTTTAAGGCGCATATTAAGACTTATCTTTTTAAAACTTTATATTGGTGAGCAATTTTATATTCAGTTCTTACTTGCATGCATATATATTCTTTTTGTTTTTTATTTTTTTAATGCATTATCTTTTATTTGTTTCTTTTAAGTAATGTAGTTTTAATGCGCAGCTGATCATTCTCATGTTAAGCTGCGCACAATAAGTTCATAAATTATTATTATTATTATTAGACTTGACTTTCCGACAGTAAAATTTTAAATATTTTGCCTTGTTTGAGCCATTTAACTGCTAACGTGGAACGTTTCAAACGTTTCTGAAAATAATCGTATTCAAACCATACTCAGTCTGCAACCAATAAAATCTTCTTTTTATAATAAATCGGTTCCAAAACAAGATCATACTGATTCACTCCCATCCGAAAAACTAGGTCCTATATCTGATCAATACCACGAGGTCTGTCTGTCAAATCCGAATCACGTGATAAAACTATTGTTCTGATTTCTACACTTTCCTCTTAAACTCCGGCATGCCATATTTGTAATATAAGCAATAATTTGGCTTTATATGAACTGTTTTAAAACTAGATAACATCGACCTAAACCACAGGTAGCCCAAGGTCGAAATATGAGCATCGGCGAACATCGGCATTGTTATAAGGATTTGTATGGGAAAAAAACCTATCGTTTCTGTAACCTACGAAAATGAATTTTTTTAAAAAAGCAGCTTACCTTACTTGAAATGTGTTTTACGTCTCTCCTGTGTGGTCCACGGGCCGATTTATGGCCGTTTTATGGGTTTTTATGTAAACGGTTTTCTCTCTAAAAACCTTTATATAGAAAGAAAACCGTTTACATAAAAACCCATAAAACGGCCATAAATCGGCCCGTGGACAACACAGGAGAGATGTAACACACTTTTTAAGTAAGGTCAGCTGTTTTTTATTGAAATCCTTTCATTTTCTTAGGTTACAGAAACGACAGGGTTTTTTTCCCATACAAATCCTTATATTTCGAATGTTACGCAACAATGCCGATGTTCGCCGGTGTTCATATTTCGAGCTTGGGCTACCTGTGCCTAAACCAGATGAGTCATCGATATGTCAGCACTCTTCAACCGATAAAAATGTTGACCGGAGAAGCGTTTTGCAAGCAGCAAACACTTGTACAACGAGCTCAAAACTAATTGACTTTAATTTCAGATTTTTACACAGACGTTTACCAACTAACAGCTATCTGCAAAAAATAGAAGTTAAAGAGGACGGAAAATGTACTTTTTGCCGTGACGAGAAAGAGGATTTGACGCATCCGTTTTGGAAATGCCAAAAGACCAAAAATTTTTGGGATAATTTCTCGATATGATAGGGCTTCAGTCGTGCCAGATCCTCCAACCAGGCAGTTACTTAGAAATGACTACCGCTTTGGGCCTAACGCCAAGCAGCTCTTCCTTTAATTAAGCTCCATATAAACTTCTGTTGTCTTATAGCTAAGACCTTTATCTGGATATGCAGATCAGAGGAATGTTTCCCAATTCACAACAATTTTTTGTTTTATCTGAGACATATATACCAATCAGAAAATAAGACACCGAGCAATATAAAAATGGAAACCTTTCTTTTCCTCGCTGAGTCTTGTCTCCTAACTCCAAAAACATAAATTAGTAATATCTGCACCTACCATGAATATTTATATTACTTTCACACAAAGAAAGCAAAAAAAAAAATGTAAAAATTAATTATAGATCATACTAAGTACAGTAATATATGGAATTAGCACTGCTGTAATTTAGTTTAATATTTGTAAGTATTAAATTGCCATGTAAGTGTGTAAATTCGTTATTTGCTTTTTTCTTTTTATTAATTCTGGGTAATTTTTTTCTTTTTTGTGTATGTTTTACTTGCAATGAAAAAAAAAATGTCAGTGGCGTCTTACAAAATGGGTAGCTACGTGGTGTAAGCATCATATAGTGGTTCCACGTTAGTAGACCTACATAGCCCTACATAGCCTTACATAGCCATACATAGCCCTACATTGCCATACACAGCCATACATAGCCACACACAGCCCTACATAGCCATACATAGCCCTACATAGCCATACATAGCCATAAACAGCCATACATAGCCCTACAAAGCCCTACATAGCCCTACATAGCCATACATAGCCCTACAAAGCCCTACATAGCCATACATAGCCCTACATAGCCATACATAGCCCTATATAGCCATACAAAGTCATACACAGCCATACATAACCCTACATAGCCATACATAGCCATACATAGCCATACATAGCCCTACATAGCCTTACACAGCCCTACATAGCAGTAAAAAGCCATACATAACCATACATAGCCCTACAAAGCCTTGCATAGCCCTACATAGAAATGCATAGCCATACACAGCCCTACATAGCCGTATATAGCCATACATAACCATACATAGCCTTACAGAGCCATACACAGCCCTACATAGCGATACATAGCCCTGCATAACCATACATAGCCCTAAATAGGCATACATAGCCTTACATAGACATACATAGCCATACATAGCTCTAAATAGACGTACAATACCCTACATAACCCTATAGACAGCCCTACATACCCTTACATAACCCTATATAACCGTACACATGTGCAGGGGCTCGACATGGGAGACGTAGTGAAAGACTTTTTTGAAATGCAGACAAAGCATGCATGAATCTATTCCTTGTGATTATGAACATAAAGGAAAGACGTGTTCTGCTTTGCGGTTATTTGGTAAAAAAAGAAAAGCCATTTATAATATAACAATGTCAATGGGCTAAAGTATGTCTCTAAATAAGATTAGTATATACATAGAAAGAAATACAAAAATCGAATACAGAAAGTACACTATTTACAAAGCTACATTATACTTAAAGACAATTCTATTAAAGAATGTATTCTTAAAGCGGTCCGTGTGAATGGCGGGCATTGCGGGAGATTTATTCCTCAAGTTGTATCTTGTAATCTTAGTCTCAGGGAAGTTAGCTCTAAGAGGGTGGTTCGGGATACTAGAAACCTTCCTACAAATTCTTTGATCTTGCGCTTTAAGTAATTAACCTATCTCTAGTTTCTTGAATATGTATCTGCGTTTAAAACATCGATCTAAAAACTGCTGGGCTATAGTTAGCTCTGATTCAGAGGCTTCATAAACAGATAAAGCATAAGTAATATTAGGTAGAACTATGGAAGAGAATAAATGGTCTACTTCTGCTTGGCTACGTCCTTCTTTTCGGAGGCACCTGATGACATACAAGCATTTATTAGCTTTACATAACTTTTCTTTAAGGTGAGTGCTGAATTTGCAGTTCGGCTGAAATGTGAGACCTAGAATGGTTACTGTACTAGCCCTACATAGCCCTACATAGCCCTACATAGACATACATAGACCTTCACAACTTTAGACCGATTTCTGTCTTACCAACTATAGCTAGAGTTTTTGAACGATTAGTTTATGAGCAGATGTACGCCTATTTTACGGAAAATAACCTTGTTCAGCCTCGTCAATCTGGGTTTAGATCTCTTCATTCAACTGTAACTGTGCTTCTAGATATGACAAATCAGTGGTGTCTTAATATTGATAAAGGTGTGATCAGTGGTGTTATTTTCCTTGATCTTAAGAAGGTATTTGACACTGTTGACCATGCTATCTTGTTGAAAAAACTGTTTGACTATGGGGTGCAGGGTCAAACCGCTTCTTGGTTCAAGTCTTATCTAAAAGACAGACAGCAATTTTACGTGGTAAACGGATTGTCGTCTGTAAAAAATCGTATCCACAGGGTTCTTTATTAGGCCCACTCTTGTGTCTTATTTACATTAATGACTTACCAAATTGCTTAGATCATAGTATAGGATTTAGGCCATTTGCTGATGATACAAATTTAACGTTCTCTGCCGTGGATTTATCAATCCTTCAGACTGAAATGAGCAACGACCTTAATAGAATTTTTAATTGGCTCAGCTCAAATAAACGCACATTGAATATTCTGAAAACAAATTTTATGGTGATAGGTTGTCGGCAGAGAATTGCAACATTAGCTGGAAATATTTCATTACGTTTAAATGGTTTAACGTTACAACAGGTCGAAACTACAAAGAGTCTTGGCCTCACTATCGACCAATTTCTTACTTGGAGAAATCATTTACAAAGTGTCAGACCAAAGGTGGGGTGTGGCATTAGAATTCTTTAAAAGAGGATTAGGCCTTTTGTTGGTTTGGAGCACCTCATAAACGTACACAGGTCAATAGTTGAGCCTTATTTTACTTATTGTTGTATATTTGGGATAGTATTGGCGAAACGTTGGTAGACAGTCTTCAAAAGTTGCAAAATAGGCCCGCTCGTGTTATTACAGGTGCTTCATACTCGAAACATTCAGCTGATATTCGGCATGACCTTGGGTGGCTCTCACTTAGTGAAATTAGACAACATCATATTGCATTAATGATGTTTAAAGTAAATCATGGCCTCTGTCCCTCTTATTTGTCTGCAATGTTTGACGTTAATACAAGTCGGTTCAGTTATGACCTTCGCTCTTCTGGAATGAATCTAATAGTGCCAAAAGCAACAACAAACTATTTTAGGAATAGTTTTGCTCCTGCAGGCGCTAAGTTCTGGAATTCTCTTCCTTCCAGTTTAAAGGAAGAGACTTCTTAAAAACAATTATCTAATGCTAAGATCAGGTCGTATTTACTATCTACACAAGCCTCATAAATTTAGTTTTTTTATCATTAGGTTTAATATTGTGTACGATCTTTCTTAGTTTAGTTTTTAGATATATATCTATATTTTCCAGTAGGTTGAATATAATGCACGGCTTTTAGGTAGAACAGATGCTTTATGTAAAGTTATCATGATAAAATTACCGTGGGTAAATAAAGTTTTCACTCACTCACTCACTTACACAGCGCCGCCCTACATAGCCCTACATAGCCATACACAACCATAAATAGACCTACATAGCCATACACAGCCCTTCATAGCCCTACAAAGCCATACATAGGCCTAAATAGGCCTAAATAGCCATACATAGCCCGC